ACAGAATGTTCAAGCTTCCAAAAAAGCGATGCTGCGCTTTTTTACACAGGTACATGTATGCTACATGCCTGTAGAGTGCAATCACAAATTTCCAGCTTTCTATAAGCTCTAGTTTCCAAGAAATATTAATTTCAACATGTAATACCTAGAAACAAATACAGCAACGACACATATGAGTATGTTTTTTTAGTATACAGGGTGTCCCAAAAAAATGCTAACACTGTTTGATCGTTAATAACTCCCTTGCTTTCAAGTCTTTCGCCGAGCTTTAGGTACCGTTTTGTAAAGCGAGGATAAACATAGATTTACAGTATGGAGCGAATCATCTAACTCTCCTCTTTACTGTAGAATTACGGTAGGAAGTTTGGCAAGGATTTTAGACCATTGAAGGCCATTTTCTGCTTCGAAACAGAGCCAAACAAGCCAAAATCTCTTGTACAATGGTAATGAAAGCAACTGATTTCGGATATGAAATTCCATTTTATTATGATACTTCTTCTCAAAGTTATCCTAGGTAAAGCATAATAACTGACTTCCCAGCATGTGTCAAGAATGTGATTACACCGTCAAAAAAACTGAAAACACTCAAAAACTTGTGTAGTAAAATCAGCGCGAGCGAAAAGCCTAGTACACGATTTTCAGATTTTTTGAAACAAGATTTTGTCAGAAGGCATACTTCACGACGGTTCTACATGCTGGAATTCCTTACCGTAATCGTACAGTAACGAAGAGCGAACGGTGATTCGCTCCATACTGTAAATCTAAGTTGAACCTCGCTCTACAGAACGGTGCCTCAAGCTTGCCGAAAGACATGGAATCAAGGGAGTTATTAACGATCAAACAGTGTTAACATTTTTTTTGGGACACCCTGTATATGCGTGAATGGGTTTGGGACTTGGTAAGTTTTCTTCGAGCAAAGTTACAGAAATTTTCAATTTTTTGGGCATTCAGAAGTTCTCAGATTTCGGCTTCTAACTCGTGATGTGCTGAAGCTGGTGCAAACTCTTACAAGCCATCTTATAGAGCTTGCTTTGTTCTATGGAACGGCACCCTCCATCATAATCAGAATTGAGAAGTGTGCGAATTATTGCTTTAGAAAGTCAAAATTGGAAAAACTTTTGAGACAATCTAATAGCAGTGGCGTACCCAGGATTTCGGCTCGGGGGGGGGGGGGGCGACAAAAAAAATTTTCATTGAAGGTGCGTGGCATTAGCCACGCACTCCGAAAAAATTTTTGGGATGTTTTCCAAAATTTTTCCGGGCCCATGACCCCAAAATTCCAGAAAAAGGGGAAAAAATTTTTTACGAAGCTAATTTGAATTTTTTGAAATTATTTTAATTTTACAAGTAAGTACAAGTCCTCTGCACATTTTTATAACACATTTAAGTAACTTTCAAAAATTTCGCGACCCATTCTAGTGGGGGGGAGGGCCTGCCCCCCCCCCCCTCGGTGCGCCACTGCCTAATAGGTATTGTGAGGGCACCGTCCGATAGATTCTCGACTTCCTTTTGTTCTGAGGCCTTCTCATAACTCTAATTCCGAATTTAAATTTAAGAATCCTCGAAAGCCCCAACGATCCTTCTTCTGAAGAAACCGCAGGCCCGTTCTTCAGAACGGTGATTAGATGGGAGAGTGCGGATGGGCGCTCATTACTGAAGGGGGCGGTGCCGACTTGGTACCCTCTGCTCTTTTCGTTATACCGGAGCGATTTTCCTCGTATTGAAAGCGACATTTTATGCCTCGACTTAGACATTGGCATACGTCCGATAGCCTAGAGACAGTGAGTCAGAAGTGAAATTTGTTTAAATATCTTCCTCCCCTCCCCCCCCCCCCTCCTGCTCATAAAAAGTAAAGGTTGTTTATAGGAATTCAGAGAAGAAAAAAAGATGCAAATAGCAATAAAAAAGCGGATAAACAGAAAACAGAAAGACGGATAGAAAAAGCAAAAGAAACCTGAAACGAAATACGCTGCAATGAGTTTCAAATCTTCCATTTGGCGGCATTTCGAAGTGCAGGTTTTCGCTCCACCAGGCCACAACAAGGGAAAACAAGGAAGAAAGAAATAACTTATAAATACGTAGAGTTTTTTTTACACTAAGTCGAAATGTACGTCAGAGCCACTTTAGTTTTTGATGCGTCTTTTCAATATTTAACTCCGCATTGTCGTTGCTCTTTCTTGAGACGTCTGGATTGTTGCGCTCCATATTCGGGGCAATAATAGTCCAAGCTGGAAAAAAATGTTAAGGAAAACGCACTTTTTACATTCTCACAGAAAATTCCGCCATAATCGAAAAAGTAAGCCCTAAGCCGTTGTCTACATTATGAACAGAAGCAAGATCTATGGAATGCACGAAAAATCGCGTTAAAAGAGTTAAACTAAGGGAAAACAAGAGATTTTCGAAAACAGGATTTTTGCCGAAACAAAAATGTGGTCTTGGGACGTTAGCGTGAAATTGGAGATAAAGGGCTTTAATATTAGGTCATTCCGGAAGTAATTTCGCTTTATTCAAACGGGCGCCACATCTGATGGAACAAAGGTTCCTGAGAGCTCTTGGTAGCATTCGAAACACCATTTCATTCTCTTTCTAATGGTTATGAAATATTTGCAAAACAGTCAATGAGCTTTTAGAAAATAACCAAAATCTGCGACCTATGCTTTTTGAGATAGTCAAGTTTCACTATTTTTTAAAACTTTCATAACAATCCTCAGAAAGAATTCAACTGACGGTTCGATAGAGCAAACCTCATAGAATACAGTGCAACTTTTTTCTCTTTTCAATAGCTTGTCATACATTTTTAACAGAATTTTAACTGATGCTACCGATTTCCATACTTGGACAGCTAAATCCTAGTAGAACATCAAACCTTGAGCAGCTCGGGTGTCATTCGATGCAGCTTTTTCTCCTCTTTCTGACAGGAGTATTTTGGTTTCCGATTCGTTTAGGTTCCGGGGATAAAATCATCATATCTCATTTTTGTAGGGAGCCCAAGGCTGTACCCGAAAAACTCGAAATTTGATATTTCGAACAAGTAAACCCTCACTTGCTTTGTAAAATCAATGCTAACTCATAGTACCATCTTGGTAGTCTCAAATTCCGAATAATTATGATGTTTGATGCGATTGTGGTTGAAGTGGGCCTGCCAAAATTCGATGGTTCTGCTAAAAAATCTTTTAAAAAATTACGACGAGCTACGAGAAAGGGAAAAAAGTAGCGCTGTATTCTATAAGCTTTACTCTATCGAATCTTTACTTGAACTCCTTCTGAGGATTGTTATGAAAATTTTAAAAAATTGTGAAACTTGACTATCTCTAGAAGCATAGGTCGCAGGTTTTGGTTACTTTCTGAAAAGTCGTTGATTATTTTGCAACAGTTTCATGATCATTAGGAAGAGAATGAAATTCTGCATCGAATGCATCCAAGATCAAGATTTAGAAATCTTTGTTCCATCAGATATGGCGCCCGTTTGAAAAAAGCGAAATTACTTTCGGAATGACCTAATATAATATACAATTTGCTAGATTTGGGCTTAGAATAAAGAAGAAAAGAGTACCAGAACCAAATGCCATGTGCCCCGCGTTTGAGGTGGTGAGGTAGCGCGCAACGCGCGGAGACGTAGATGAGCAGAGGAGAAAACCTAGGGCCGAAGGGCCATTTGGCTATTTCAGTCAAGTAGGAGGTTAAATGAGAAATGTTATCCTGAATTCTGGGCAAATTTTCACAGAAACCTTCTTTTTCAGCGTAAAAAGGCTATAAAAACGCAAATTCTAGGTCTTGCTAAGATAATGCAAAGGTATTAATTCCTACTGCTTCATTCACATTCATTCCGATTAGTCAGGGTTATAATATCCGTCGCCTTGGATGACACCTGTTTTTTTTCAGGTGCAGGTTGTTTTCTTTTATATTGCTCAAAGTGAAGGTTACCAGAGTACATGGCTGTATGTATCAAGGGTGTGCGGCATTGGCTTGATAGCGGGTCTTACTATCTTTACTGCCAAATGCTCAAAACCCCTAAACTGAGATAGACTACCTTTAAACAGCGCATTCTATTGTGCTTATTTTGTGGAATCGCGTCAGAAGTCAAGGAGAATTCCTACAAGAAGGCGAGCGGCACATCGAAGTGGGCGGTCAGCACACGGTTTTGATGATTTGCACGCAAGTTTTTTTTTCTTCAAATGGCATTATATGAAGACCTGGCTTGCGCAGTAGTTCTGGTTTCGATGTCCCAGTACTCAGTCATGACAGAGGCCTAGTCCACTCTGATGGTTCACAACCATGAACGCGAAGCTCTACGTAGCTTGGCGAATGCAGCTTGGCTTTATTGAGCAGCTGGATTTCAATAGTAATCGTGTTAGGACTCGTGCATTCTCCTTGTGGGTACAGCTCAGCGATGTCCTTGGAAATGTCGCTGTTAAAGGTACCGTCCACCCAAATTTCCGACTTCCATGTTTTTTTCGGGCACGGAAAGATTAAGGTCTCGATTAACGCCTCCAATCGGTGGAATCCATGCGTCCATGTAAGCCTACCGCCCTTTTTTACCCTCGTCCGAGGCGTTTTTCTCGCTAAAATGCATATTTTTCGCTCGGACTTGATCTATTGCGCTGTTCAGAAGCCGTGCTCTCGCACTGCAAAAATTCACCATCCTGAAATTGGGCGTCGGGTGCCTTCGATTATTCTCACGATGGAATTTGCATTACCTTATGGGGAAATATTGCTGACCACGTCTGCTTCCAGAAGGGAATAAACAGTGTTAATTGTGACTTTCATTCTAGACAATAAATAGTCATTCTGCAAGCAGATACACGAGCACTTGAAGAAGAAAGAAAAAATTGTATAGAACAAAGATGACTCCAATCACATTTACAAGGCACAATTGACGACCCAGATAATATGGCAACGAAATGAGGCGTCGAGTTTTAACTTGACGCCAGTGTTAAAATTGATTCCTAGGTTAAAAATATATCTAAAGATACTGCAAAACTAGGTCGAGTGAATGAGATCAGGTATTGAAAGTAGATGCAACATTTCTATGGTTGTTATAAGATTTACATATCAGATTTCAATAACAAAACCCCTAGAAGGACCCGATCCCTTGAATTTGATGGTTTTTGTATGCCAAACGAGAATATCTTTAGGGCTATCGTCATGTCCAAAAGGTTCCGCGTCTTTCTTCTTGAAACCAAATTGCGTAATAAAGCATGACTCGGGGCCCAAACCGGATGTCTTCGCACATTTGCTTCCGAATGTAGCACTAAAAACTGGACTGTTGTTGAGGAACATAAGCTACGGTGACTCACTTTCGAACCCTAAAAATCTCCTTGACATGTAAGGCAAAGCCGGCCATATCTACAGCGAATTCTCGTCGGGGCGCAAACATCACATCCCAAGCTTCAATTTGGCCATTTTTACCCACTCTGGGAGCTTCAACATAAGCTCCGCCAACTAGACCTGAATTCATGAATGTTCAGAGAATTTGTGTGGTCAACCAGATGGGAAAATAAACTATCCTGGGTGTGCTCATGTTAAATAACAAAACTGGATACACCTTGGGTTATACTATAAAATTTTGGCACGCAGCCAGATTAACGGTGTATATTTCATCGTAGAAACCTATAGAACTTACAAATTTGAAAACTAAAGATTTCCAAAATTTGGAACAAATACGAAAAATGATCTCGTTATAAATCAACTTAGCATTTATTTTTCAATTAGAAAGATATTACAGTGCAACCCATAGAAAAAATCTTCTATGTGAAACATGGCTAAAGGGGAAGTCCAACATTTGTTTTCGTGTTTTGATCAATTCCTGCTTCCTATGTCAGCCCATTTTTTTACTTTACAAACAAAGCAAAAATAGTCAGCTCCAACGCGTATGGCGGAAATCAGTTTTTGAAACGTCTAGATCTTCCAGATCTCCAAAAATTGGAAAAAAAAGAAAATAAAGGTTAAAATGTGGTGATTTTTTGAGAAACTTTTCTAATTTGGTACTGGTATTCGCTCTTATTTGTTGAAGATTGTTCATATAAAAAAAATGTTTGCACTCACCTACAGGCCAAACTCCTAATCGTTTCACATTGCGTATATACTGATCGAACAATCTAATATCGTACGAATTATCATCATCAGCAAAGTACAACACCCCATCGGTGTCCGGACTATAGTTCTCGCGGATATATTGCAGCGCAAGGTTGCGGTGAGTCCAGCCCCGCTCTGAAGTTTATAACTTTTAAATAAATTTTGCAGAAACTCCAGTTTCGTCCACAGCATTACAAAGATTCAGTGAAGTCCCTATGTTTTCAAATTTGATTTGCACTTCCCATCATATCTTTCCATGTGACAATTGCAATCACTGGAGTGAAACAACCGGTTTTTTCGGGTAAGTGGGAAGGTCATTTTTGTCAAAAAATGTGTCAAATGTAATTTATTGAAATGGACCAGCCGACAGTACTCGCCTTGGAAAAAAGTTATGTAATGAAAATATTGTAAACGCTATGAAAGTAAAAGTTAGATTATGATCTACTCAAACTATCAGAAGGTACAGAAATTCTAGTATTTGTATGCAAAAAGAAGTTGCTGGGAATATGTTTGCGGCTTGAAAATTTGACTCATAGAAAAGCCCTTACGCTATAAATAGTTTCATTGAGCGAGATGAAGTTATAAATCATTTACAGTTGGTAAGCAAGAAGATCTTCAGTAAAAAGTAAAGAAAACTGGTGCCCTTCAAAATAAGAAAATCAAGAAAGTGCGTAAAGATTTACTGGAGAGTCAGCAAAATTTTTCACTGATATTTTGCGATCACAAAAATAATCATTTATTCACGGTTTACTTTTTAATGTAATATGAAAATTCCATAAAAAATTTTTCGAAGAAGATAACTGATATCGTCGTTTCTTCTACAACCAATTCTGATTTTTTCATGCGGTCCCCTAAATAAGAATTTGTTCAACCCCAGCTAAAAGTTAATCCCGGACGAAGGCGGATACCCCTATTATCAAAGCGTACGCGAATGCGGCGAGCGAGCAGTTATCGGACTCTATCGTTACAAGCATCGCGTACGTAGCAGCGTAGTGCACTCTAGCGACTATAAATGCTCGGCCGCCGCGTTCGCGCCCGCTTCGCGACGAAACCATTCTCCTTCGTCCAGAGCTAGCGTTTGTCCATTAGCAGAAAAAAAAGTTAAGGGAAATGACAGTAAAAAGTAGTCGCTACAAGCCCTAATTACTCTCTTCTAATGTTTAGTAGTAATTATCGCCGATTCATTCGTCAACACCTGAAGGAGAAGGAATTACATAGATAGCGAGAATTTGAAGATATTCACCTTCCCTCCCCCCCCCCCTCCCTCTTCCCTTCTTGACTGAACGGAAACTTACTTGGCATTCCTGGCGCTGACGTCGTAGCTAAGTAAACATGTGGAATTCGACTTCGATAAAGCAGCCGATGAATGGCTTCCACAGTCGAATTTCCGTCTTCGACAACAATCCAATGTAGATTTCGTATGTGGCTCAACGTCTGTGACAACCGAAAATATGCAGGTTTTCATTCGAGGCCAAAAGATGATGAGTTTTCTGTGTTTGTCAAAAATAATTAAGTTCCGGGCCTTTAATATCTTTTCAAGTCTTCAAAATCGCTGACTTTATGTCGTTAGAGTGTAGATATAAGCTACATTAGGATTTATAAATGAATTTCTTCCTTTGCCCAGATCTATCCACATCCAAGCTTTGAACCACCTTACTCAGCTCATTTTTCTTGGGTGCCCAATTTTCTAAATTTTTTGGAAACATAACTTATACGAAGCCCTCCTACCTTAACATATCGCCTATACGTTCCCTACGTTTATGTGTTGGCGTGACGACGATGATCGTTACGTTTCTTGCGTTCCGTACGTTAGTTTCACGTTTTCGAAACGAATTTGCAAACTCGTTTCCATATGCAATCACAAGCATGTAGAGTATAGCTGAGAAAATTACGACAGCGATAAGACGACCGCCAAACAAGTGAATTGCCAATAACGCTTTCGGCTTTAACCGAATCAGCATCCTGAAAAAAGGAGGGGGTTCTTTTTATACAAGGGTAAAAGTACATAGAAGTAAAATTCAACGATTAAACAGTGTAACTTTTTGAGCGCGAATAAAAGAAATCCACTAAATAAGCTCTTCTAATTCAAAAGGTAAGTAGACGCTGAAATAAACATATTCGTGTAAAAATTAATTATCTTTTATAGAATTTGAATGCAGAGTATATTTTATCAAAAAACATATCATTTATTCTAGCATTGAGCTTTACAATCTTGCTGAAAAGATGTTTTCTTGTTGTCGTTACCATTGTCTTGTTTTATTTTTACCTCTTTTAGAGCTGGAAAACAAGAGAGAAAGCGACTTGTCCAGCCGTTTTTCAATTTCAAATGGCTACGAGACTTCAACTTTTTTCCAAATCGGTTAGCAATAAATCACTGGAAAGACGAGTAGATCTCATGGATGATTTGTAGCTAGAGATAAATTGAAAAAAAGATGAAATAATTTATCGAGAATCGCTATGTCAAAAGTGAATTTATGGTTTTTTGTTTAAATTTATGAATTTCATGTTGAATTTAACAGAAAAATTCAGCTTTTCATCCGCTTTGGTGGATTTGGGATACGTCTTCTATGTTTTAATTGGTTTCATAGATAATCGATGGAACTGCTTTCTTTATAATAGTTTTGAAGATTTTGGAAATTTTCTAGAAAAAAACTTCCTACTTCAACAGCAAGGAAAAAATGACCAGGTGAAAAGCAAAACAAAAAACAGTTATTCACGGAGCAATGTCTTTAGAAGTATCTGAGATTCTATTTTTCTCTCGAAACTTCAAATTGGGAAAAAGTTAAGGTAGAAGAAATGAAAAACAATAGATAATTCACAGAAAACTTAGCTACGGGTAGTTTGGAACTCTACATCCGAGCCCTTTTGCCAAGGGGATGTCAAAATAATTGCCAAATCTTCAAAATCTTTAAAGCGAGAAGAAAACAAATTGGAAAAAAACTAAATACCTTCATTTATAGGGCAATCTAACGAGTAGTTTGAAATTTTATGTCCAAGTTTAACTGGCAACTCTACCAATGAGACTCCTGAATTTTTCGGAAGCTTCAAAATAAGGAAAAGAAATGTAGAGTTAAACAAATGATAAAAATTGTTCCTATCGCAATCTATGAGTGAGTAGTTCAAATGTATGAACTTTGGAAACATAAATCTAAACTCATTCAACAGGTATCTCTAAAAGTGTTCTGACTTTTGGAAATTTAGCAAGGAAAGGACTTTTTGCAACAAAGATTGAGTAAATAACCTGTAATTATCTCGTACAATTCCAGGAAGAGACTTGTCGGTAGTCATCGGACCAGAAGAGAACTGGTTTTTCGTAGCGTTTCAAATTGTCGAGTGTTTTTTTTTATCGTACACCGACTAGGCAGGCGATCACATTCTCTTAGCGCGGAGATAAAATCGAAAATGAGTTGAAGTGCATTGTGGCATGATGGGGTAAATGAAAAATTGCTAAGGTCAAATGTTCAAAAAATTTCCGCGAAGTGCTGATCGATTCCAATGGTTTGAAATTGTAGGTTCTTAGTCTAGTCAAAAAAAGTGCCATGAATGGACGAAAAATTACTAGGATCGAATTTTGAAAGATTTGCACTGAGTGTTTATCAGTTTTGTTGGTTGAAAAATATCGAATCTTCAAGACGTTACTGTTCTACAGAGGTTTTCTTAGTCAAATAAATTTGTGCCACCAGTAGATAAGAAATTACTGGGGTCAAATTTTCTGAAAAATTTCCGCGAAGATTTGATCAATTCCGATCGGAAATATAGAACTCCCATTGTGTTAGGAAGAAATTTTGGCTTTTTCAGTCTAGAAATAAATTGATCAGCAATTTTTGATGAATAAGGTATGAGTCATAGCACATTTTCAAGGGTTTCCAGACCCAATTAAACACTTACGAGGTTATCTTAAAATACATTTGTACTTTAGGATTACCTTACAACTAATTCCAAAGGGACAGGCGAATCAAATACGAATTAAATAAAAAATCGGTAAACCATTTAGCAAAATTTTCACCTTTCTCCTCTGTGAATTACAACAGCCTTGGAAAGTTATTTTCTGTCTTTTTCCACATATTTTGCTACGTACTCGAAATGCAGTTTATGTAGCAAAATTTCAGCCATATAAAGTGCCCTGGTTTTTTTCCCGAGCAGCGTTTTGTCTTACTACTGCATTTCATTCCTAACGAATAGGTCTCAGTACGGCTAGATGATGAATTGCAGCAGCGTTTCTAGGCGATGCGAAATGTGGGATTATTGCAAAAAATACGTTGCGTGGGAAGACAAAGTATAATAAGAGTGCAATGAACAACTCAGTCTAATAAATAGTTTTTCATTATGTACTGATGACTCGACGTTTAATCACAGTGTCACAAGCTGGAAAAAATACAAGGAGGTAGGTAAACCTTAGATCATGCACTCGATAGGCTGGTGAATGGAGAGAAACATTTCATCGAAAAACGTATCTATGAAGTCACCAGAAAAATGATTTACACAAGATCCATACTTCAATATTTGAGACAATATTCGCTTCAATGTTTTTTGCTACTTCAATGTTCGAGACAATAGTTAAGGCAGATACTTTTTTGTTGTACTGTAGGATTACGGTAAGAACCTTCAGGCACACTGTTATTTACAGCTCAAATCAACAAAGCTGGTCTTTTACTATTCCCACGCATGAATATCCCCAAACCTGGTTTTTGTATCCAGAACTATTATGGCAGTTTGCTGACCTTCATCTCACTCTCGAAATTTACCATTAAGAGTTACAGAAACAAAATCTGATACGATAGGAAGACAACAATTGTTGAAAAAAATTTGAAACACGATATTTTTCAAAGTATCCAGAGCTTTGGCATGTTTCCTTCCTGGCTACGAATACTTGACTTGAGGCAAGACAAACCATGGTTAAGCTTTAGTTTTTCATTTTTGAATTCATCTTTACGAAGGGAGAAAGAGCTTACCAGTGCCCTAAAAATCGAGATTTTAAGCCACTACAAATAAATGTGAGCTTATGAGAATGCACAAAAAAGCAGATTTCGAGATTTGCGTTCTGGGTGCAATAGATAAAAGCATTCGCTTCAACTCATTCAGTTTCATACTTTGATTATCACGAGTAGGCTACACTTGTCCTTCTTTGATAATCAAACCTCTGATAAAGATGGCACGATTTACAAGATGCGCGAAAGTTTCTAAGATAAGCTTTAAGCTGACTGTGAAGAAGAAATAATCCAGGATTTAGTAGGCATTGCAACGGAATGATAAGCTTGAAAAATCAGAAATCATGATGATGGAAACAGAAAAAGTTGATAAAGGATAATAAAAACATAAAATGAACTATAATTATAGCCGTGACGATACAAAAGTAGCACAGTATAGAATCCCCTGGCTTACAGACTTCAAAAGAAACTCGATATTAGCCGCAATTAGACAGACACAGATTGAGCCTTGTTCAAAGAAGAAGACACATCTTACGTAATGAGTTAGCTTACGAAACTGGGTCATTAGACCAGTAGAACATTATAAGCAACATAATGGGAGAAAAAAATTGGGAAGAAACGAGATAACGACTGTAAGGAACCTGTCCAGTCAGTGAAGAGAAAAACAAATAAAAGAAAGAAGTTGAGACAAGGTAAAGAGTGTTTATTTTTGGTTTTTTGGTTGCAAATCAGCTCAAGGAGTTCGGAGAGCTCCGTTAACAGTAGAATTATGAGAAAAAGAGTTTCCGCTGGAAATGGAAAATTTTGAGATGGGTTATTGGTTCCGTGAAGAGGCAATTGACCTCATGGTTGGGACAATGTTTACTCATTGTTTATCTCGTCTGTACGCAGCTTCCGCCAGTGGATCATAAAGCCGTAATAGCTCCATTTTCGAGGGAAACCCCGGATATGGGGGTTTACAAAAAATTTCCTAATACTTACTATCGCCCCCCCCCCTCTCTTTGTTGCCTATAGTTTGAAAAAGCAGATAAAACCATAAAAAAGATAGAAACTGCTTCATTGCAAATCAAAAATGAAATTATCACAATTCCTAAATTTTTTCAGACTTCCTCTTCTTTATTTCCCGTATCATTATTCGCTTAAATAAATCTATGGAACAATAAAACGCTAATCATAGAAAAACTTTGAAAAATTTCAAAAAAAAACAAATAGAAAAAAATTTGGATAGCATGGTCAAAATATTCGAAGCGTAATGACTAAAGATCTATATCTCAACAAAACATCTCGCAGCATTATTTATTAATGCATATAGTTTGAAAAGACACCAAATAAAACAAAAATTCTATTGTTATTTGTCATTCAAACCGCAAAATT